AAAGTCATTTACATTCTTAGAAAATTTCAAGTTAAAAAAAAAAACCCTCATGACTACTTGCAACTAAAATAATATTTAGATATGTAACCCCTCTTTTTTGTTGTTGTTTTAGAATTTTTAAAATTTTGAAAAGCAGTATTTACTTTCTTGGTAGTACAGTTTTTCTCCAGATGAACCAGTGATCTATTTTATTTTTCATGCTGTAACAACTAAATAAAATTGTTCCTTTTCTTTTAACCAAATGATTTTGGTGTTGAAAAAAATTTTCAAAAGGCAAAAACAGTATGTGTGAAGAATGTTCTTGGTGATTTTTTTCCTTATGTGTTAACAAGGGTTAGGTGATTGCTTTACTAACAAAATGATTTTGAAAACAACCATTTCAACAATGTTTATAAAATACATGATTATTTTTCTTTCCTAAAAATTTCTGCTGCACATCTAGCCAAAACAAAATGTTGACTAACCCATACAAAAACAAATGATTTGTTCTATATTTCTGTAAAATGTAGATTCCTTGGTAAGGTTTTAAACACTGAATAACTTTTTTTTTTTAATACCTTTTGTTTTGTTTTGTTTATGGTGGAGAATGGGGACAATAATTGAGTAAATGATAATTTTCAGGAAGAAGATATCCTTTTTTCACTTGCAGTTCTGTTTCACTTTATGACATATCTCAAACAGAATTATCCTTACTTGACAGAAGATAATGCTGCATGCACTTCTGAAACTGGGACTAATTTACACGTTCTCAAGCTTTATAGGCATTTAAAAGAACCACACCAAGACTTCAACTTGTTGGAAGAAACAAAACATCACAAGGCAGTGGCAATGCAAAAACAAGCACACAACAACAAAAAACATTTAAAAACAAACAATATAAACTCTCCCAATAACTTAGAAAATCAATGCAGTCATGAGTTAAGAAGTGAGAATTTTTTTTCTGTATTTTGTAACAATTATAGTTTTATTTAAAAGTTATGACACAGAAGAACATTTTATAAATCTGTTTAAAGTATTTACTTCCTAGTTTTTCTTTCTGCTGGCATTTATCTTGTTTTGAAACATAGTCAACTTCTTAAAAATTGTTAAATGTTAGGTTTAAAATTCCATCTTTATTTTGGGGAATTATCCAGAGGAGCTAATTCAAAAAAGAAGGAAAACTTAGGTGTCTCAAAATAACTGTTCAAAGCAAACAATCTGATGCAACTTGTATATCTAAACATAATTATTGATTTACAGCTAGTGAACTGGATAAAAATGAGATGAAAATTCAGAAGCAATTTGTGAAAAATACTTTTCATGCAACGGTAAAAACCAAGGTATAAAAATAAAATGTCAACATATAAAACAATTACACATGGGACAAATGCTGGGAAAAACACTTTAACACGAATGTTGTAAAATGGTGGATTTTTTTATCTTCTATTTCCAATAATTTTTATTTCCTTTTTGTTTTTTAAATAAAAAGTGTCTTTTGCAGGCTCATGTTGGAAGAAAATGAATCGAAATCCCATCTCAAATGGAGTCAGGTTCTCAGTATTTTTGAATTCAGAAAGGAGCTAGGATCCAGAAGTAGATCAAACAAAACCCCAGGAAAAATGGACAAGAGAAGGAAGAAGTGTAATAATAACAGATACTCTTAAAGACATAATTTGTCCTGCGGCTAGTTTCAACTTTCAGAAACTAAATTTTACTCTCTGTTGAAAATTCAGCTTTCCCAAAGAAGTCACAGAGGGGGAAAAAAAAAATGAAAATACAGCTCTGTGTTGCTTGTCTTTGATACCAAAATAATTAAGAAAAGTTAGATGAAAAGGGATGGAGCTCTAAGTTGGCCCATTCCTGTCCCTACCGTACAATGTGAGTCTGGATCAGAAAGAAGCCTTCTTTCAAGTTAATTTTAGTGCTTGGGGTCGCTGAAGGCCAGCAGTGGCAACACCAATCAACAGCCTTTACTTCCCCCAACTCCAGCCTAAAATAGCCAGGTCACTGAGGCAAGACTGATTTGGGGGCTCAAAAGAATTCTCACTGGGAATCTCTCCCTCTTGTGTCCCAGCAGCCTTTAGAGCCCCTGACTGCACACACAGAAGACCCCTTCTCAGGGGTGGAGAGGATTAGAATCCAGTGAAACAGCTGATTTGAAAAAAATAATTAATCCGTTTCTATTCAACCGTAATTGGTACATTTTTCAATGATTTAAAACACTCCGTTTAAGCAAATTTATATTTTATCCTTCACTGGGGATATTTTGAATTGCAACTAAACAAGAAAAATTTGGGCTCTGTGTACAGTACTATTTTGAAAGAACAATCACTCCAAAAGAAAACTGAACGCAGTCTTTTTTTTTTTTTAATTTTGCTGTCCTTCGAACTGAGGATAGGAAAAGGTGGGCTGTATTTTGCAGGAAGTTCAGAACTCAGGGTGGGGGTGATTTTCGGGTTGTTTGAAAAATGAAGAGACAAGATGTGCTGACCAGATCGGAGGTATTTTTATGAATATCTACCGATTTTAAATTCCCACCAAAAGTGCTAGCAGAGGGGTGTCCTGATGGCGTCCGCTCTTGCCCTGTTCCTCAGTGTAACAAGAGATCGGAGGAGCTGCGGGCCCCCGTCCAGGGCAAAGGCCACGGCACACAACAGCCCAGACCATCCTGTAGCCCTTTCAAAAGTCCACACAACAGAACCACGTCCTCGGGCAACGCGCACCCCGTGCACTCGGCCCCAGATAATCTGCTTTTTCCCCTCCCCCTTCTCGCCTTCTGGACTTTTAATTTTCCTGAAAATTCTCGTGGCTCGGCACTTAGTATTAAAATAATAATAATACATATGGCAGACACCATTCCTCGCACTTTGATTCGGTTAAAAATGATGCTGTGGACCAACCCCACAATCAGGAGTCGGGGTAGGTGTAGTGGGTGGGACGCGGGCGTCTCCCACCGCCAGGCACGAAAACCATTTTTCTACCCAACTAGCGAAAAATCACTGAATATTTTAATTCCTGTTGCTTCTCAGAAAAAAAAAAAACCACCAGAAATGCGACCGACACGTGGCTGGCTAGAACAAAACGGCGACTTGGGAGCCAGGGTTCCAAAGGTGGTGGAGGCGGTAGCCGGGTGGGGCGCCCGCCCCCGCCCCGTCCAGGCCGAGCGCGGGGTTCGGGGCCCCAGGGGGGCTTGGTCGCCGTCCTCCCGCGCCCCACTTTCGGAGCTGCAGGGCGCCGGGCCCAAGTCGCAGCCAGCCCTCCGACTCCACAAACGAAGAAATCTTCACAATGCACACCCGAACGGTTCGCGTCGGGATGGTAGTCAACACGTGTTACGGGGTCGCCCGGGCCCCAGGCGACGCAGACAATGGGGTCGGGGACCGCGGAAGGAATGACCCCCTTCTTCACCTGCCCTCGCCCGACAGAAACCTTCTTTCTCCCCTCAGGCCCCCCAAAAAGACCGCCTCCCACCTCCCGCCCAGCCCTGGGGGACCCCGGCATTCCAGGGGAGGTCCACCCGCGGCCATTGCGCCCCTCCAGTTCCCAGGGTGAGGGGTTCCAGGGTCCCCCCGGCTGCACCCCTCGCCCGCCCCCTCCGCTCGGCCGGGGGGACCCTGGGCGTGCGCTCGGGGCGCGCGTCCCGCACTCCGCCACGGATCCCGGACTCCGGAGCGCGCGGTGAGCGGCCTCCTCCCCCACCGCCCAGACGGGGTGCGACCGCCCACGTGTCGCCCCCTCGCCCAGTGGAGCCCTTCCCTCGGGCTCGAGGCTCCGGAACGAGTTGGTCAAAGGCGAGGGAAGGGATCTGGGCGGATCCGCTTCCCCCTCCCCACGCTCGGGCTGTGAGGCTGGAGGGGGAGAGACGGCCGCCCCCTCCCCTAAGCTCCCGCCCCTCGCTTCCCCCAGCTCCGAGCGGAAATTGCCCCTCCCCCTGCGGGTCTGACCTGGGGACGTGGGCGGGGCCTCGCACTGGGCCCCCGCCCTCCGCCCCTCTCCCGCCTTTCCGAATTCTGCGCCCCCAAACAAAGTTCCGAGACCCCAACCCAGCGCCCGCGAGAGTGGCTGGCGGTGTCCCGGGTCGGCCGGGCGCAGGGGGTTCCACCTGTCTGCTGCCGCATCCGGGGAGGGGGACGGGGGTTCTCTCAGGTCTTCACAGGGTCACTCCCGGCCTGGGCACCCCCCTCGGGTCCCTAACCCCTTGCTTCTTCTGTCCCCGGGGGTCGTCCCGGGCCTGAGCCGGGCGGTCCCCTGGTGCGAGTCCCCCCGTTTCTTCAGGGATATCCCGAACACGATTTCCTGACGCGGGGTTCCTGGTCGCCCACGGCGCTCTCCGGGGCTCGCAGGGTCCCCGGTCGTGGCTTCCCAGGGGTGGGGGAGTCTCGCGCGGCTGGGGTGGGGAAGACTTCCCCCCCGCTTCGAAATCTATGGAAAAGGCGCCCTTTTTTTGAAATCACCGGCTCGTGCGACCCCCTCCTGAAGACCCCAGAGTCCTCGGCTTCTCTTTGTCTATCTCGGCCGTTCCCCGCCTGTCAGTCGCTAGCAGTTAACTGAGGTGGGGTGGGCAACCCCGTCCCCCAAAACGCACAAAATAACCCTACATTTTATCATTAAAGACCAGAGCTGGGGGGTTTCGACCACCCTCTCCCCCCACCCCGCCCCACTCAGGCCTGGGTAGAGGAAGGGGGAGGGGTGGGGGCGGAGCGCATCTCTGGGGGCCAGGTTCCTGCCAAGGGGGAGGGGGCGAGTAGCTCTTCGTTGGCTCAGCCCCCACCGGCCCGGGATCGCCCCCTCTCCGGGGGTGGGGTGGGGGGGATGAGCTTCTGCCCCCTCCCTGCCCCCAGGAGGGAAGCTGTAGGGCCGCGCCGGGTTTGCGAGGCTGAGGGGCCCTGTGGCGTCGGGGGTCTTTCCCTGCAGGGTGGGTGGGGGCTGTCACCACGTGGCTTCATCTTTTTTTTTTTTCCGCTCCATTTTTTTTTTTTTCAAGTCGGTTTTATTTAGAGGCGGCGCCAGGGCGGCCGCGGAGAAACGTGACACACCAGCCCGCTCGCAGGGTTTTCGGACCGAAGGCGAGGAGCAACGCCGCGCCGTCTGCCTCCAGCGCGCCGCGGACACTTCCCCGAACTCCCCCGCGACCCCCGCGCGCCCTCAGGTCGCCCTCCACGCCCTGGCCTTCGGACAGATTCCAGGGTGGGGTGCAAAGAAAGTTTGTGGCCGCTGCCGGTCTCCCTGCGCTCGGCCTAGGAAGCTCGCCGCCCTCGCCCGCCCGCTCTCTCGGCCTCGCCCGGGACCTCGTCCTGCCCCGCCACCGCCACCATGAACAAGCTATACATTGGAAACCTAAACGAGAGCGTGACTCCCGCGGACTTGGAGAAAGTGTTTGCGGAGCACAAGATCTCCTACAGCGGGCAGTTCCTGGTCAAGTCCGGCTACGCCTTCGTAGATTGCCCGGACGAACACTGGGCAATGAAGGCCATCGAAACTTTCTCGGGTAAGCGCGCAGCCATCTCCCCAGGCGCCTAGGCCGGGTCCCCGGGCCATGGAGGCCTGCGCCCCTCCCGCGAGCCAACTTATGCATCCGCAGGCCTGAGGGGCCCGGCCTCGCCGCCGACCCCCGACCTGCCTCCTCCGACGCCCCCGCCTCTTCCCAGGAATATTCGCGATTTTCCCACCCCTTCCTCCCAGCCGCGCTTGGAAGCTCGGACGCCCTTTGCGTCCACCCCGCCCCCCACCGACGGGGCGGCAGCCCGCCTTGAGGGTAGTGGTAGCGGGGAAGGTGGTCTAAGGGCTGGGCATTAATCGCTCGTCCAGCCCCTCTTTAGCGTCCGCTGGACGGCTCCCTAGCTAGAGCAGCCCCCCACTCCCTAACCCTAGGCCTGGCCAGGCGTGCAAGGGGTCCCCGCGAGGCCCCCAAACTCCCTTGTCTCCGTGGGGATCACAGCTCTCGGGCCTGGCTTGGGAGAAAGGGGATCCCGCCTCCCGCCCAAGGCCCAGGGCTTGAGCCATTTTGATTTGAAAGTGGGGCGTGAGCGGTGGCGCGGCGGCGCGGGTCGCCATGCTGCTTCCCGAGACGCCGAGGCTGGGCCGAGAGGCGCGCGTCGCGCGGGACCCTCCCCGCCTTGCCCCGCGCCGCTGTCCCAGGGCCTCTGCTTTCCGACCGGCCCGACAGGTGATCGGCCTGAGGCCCGGAGCCTTTCTCCCACGTCCCGCAGAAAAAATAAAAGTTTCATTCTGCAAACATCCCCGGCCCTCCCCCACAGCCTCAAAAGTCGGGGCTCCTGGCTCTCCGGCTTCTGCTTCTCACTTCTGGGAGCTACCCCGGCAGTGTGCGCACTCGAGTCCCCACGAACCTTTCCAGGTTGGGGGGTCCTGCTAAGTGACCCATCCACCCAGCTAGCCTCAGTGGTCCACAAAACAGAAATCAAGAATCTATGGATGGCTCTCAGTTTCCTGCGGCGACCTTAACCCATCTGGCTGTGGACGCCACTCACTTGTTACCGAGGAAAGATTCAAACCCCAGCAACTTGGGTTTCCCTAGTTGCCCCTCTTTCCCCAAGTCCACCAGTTCACGCTCCCACAACTAATACCTTATTATTCTTTGATCCTTAGGAAAAGTAGAATTACAAGGAAAACGCCTAGAAATTGAACATTCGGTTCCTAAAAAACAAAGGTAGGAGAGAGCTCTTGCGGGGCTGGCTAGAGGCTGTGTTTCGGGGGTCCCCCAGCGTCTCCAGGGGGAGAAACTAGCTTCCCAACCTCTACTCCGGATGTTGGGGGCTGGGAGGGAGGAGCGGCCGAGATCTGGTAATGGGTGGTTTACAGCTTGCGAAGAGGAAAATAAGTCGGGGCTGAAGTGGGCAGAGATGTTACTTGAAGAATTAAAGGCGCGGGGGAGGGGGAGGCTCGGTAGAGGAAAACATCTCGTGGGGTCTGCTCCAAGTGTGGGGCCATTTTGGTGCGGACGCTGTAGATTCGCGGGGCCATACTGCGGCTGCCGTCCGGGTTCCTTCCTTCTCCTCACCCTCTTCACACCGTGGCCCTCCAGTGGGCGTGGGGGATCCCTTTCTGCTCTCTTGCACCCGTGGGACGAGCTTCTTGTTCCCTTAGCTCCCCCAGCCCTTGCATTTCTGGCAACAGGCAAAGGCTTCCTAAGGGACCCTTACCCCCCAGTTCCTACCCATCCCCCTCAACTGGATTTCCCAAAGAATATGCTTTGGCCCTACTATCCTCTGGCGCCCCCACCCCCACTGCTTCGGCCCATTGTTACCAGGGGGCCATCTGGGGTGAGAGCTTTGTGTTGAAGCTGCGTGCTGGGGCTCTTTGGAGGGTCTAGAACTCGATGAATGGAGTGTGTGTGTGTGTGTATGCACCCGGCGCAGCAGCACCCCAGCCCTTAGCAAAATGGGGTGCCTTCGTCATGCTTGCTGAAAATGCACAGTGTGTAGTGTGTTTCACATCTTGCCTCGAGTTGAACTCTGGCTGAGGAAGTGCGAGGACAGCAAGTTGGCTCGTTCAGTGGTGACTCTGCAAGCGTGTAGCTCATGTTGCTGGCTGGGAGCAGCCCTTAGGAACTCTTGGACCCCCTCCCCACCATCTTAACTGAAAACTTGCCCCGTATCAGAAGCCTCAATGGACTCTTTCTGAGTGGGGATATTGGGGGTGAGGGAGAACTTTGCGATGTGAATCTAGGAAGTTTAGCCAGAGAAATCTGATGTTCATTGTGGTTCAGTTTGTTGTATTTTAAGTTGGAACTATTGTATCAATAGATGATCAATATGGCTTGTTACTATGTTGATAGAACTTGTGACAACCTCTGATGCCTGTAGTACTGTTATCGGAAAGGCAATTAGAATAAGGAGTAAACAGGTGACACTACAGGGAGAAATAAGTCTTATTTCATTCGAAGCCTTTTCTGGAGAGGAGGATCAAGTTGGTGGAAACCAGCACATTTGTAGAAGAGATTATGGATAGTTGGTGAAAAATGAGTGTGGCTGACAAGAAATACCAGAATAACTGCAGAATCTGAAATGAAGGTATATTCTCTGCTGCTATTGAAGATGGCTTACATTTTAAAGGGAATGAAGCGCAGAGGAAGAGAAATAACAAAATGTGATGAAATGGAACTCAAAACATTTATATTTTAATTTTCATGGTGCTCTGTATTTATGGATCTCTTTGCTCAAGCCATCTGCTCGCTTTTAAGCCATTCCTGGTCTCCTTGTTTCCTCCAAAAGGGGGCTTTTTTTTTTTTTTTTTTTTGGAATGGGAAGGGGGTTTGAGAAGCTTGGTTTAAAAAAAATTTTTTTTACACCCATATTAAAATTTAATCTTTGTTATCCAAACATTTAAGTCCAAACATTGCATTGATTAGGTTCTCTTTATTTTCTTGTTTTGGGGAGTGGTGGTGAGGAAGGACTTGAGTTTTGTAGAATAAATCCATTTTTTTCAGTGCTCAAGATTTTTTTAATCTGTTTTTGTTAAGTCAGTTGCCTCTATCGTTTTGTATTCCTTGAGGAAGCCTGCTGTGGTGTTTGTCTTCATTCTGTGTCTGAAAAGTATTTCAGTTGAAATTTTTTCAATGGATGTGGCATAGGAACCCTAGTTTAATTAGTTAAGACTAACATTCTAAGCAAATTAAGTAACTGCAGGTATAGAAATTTTGTGTGTGTGTGTATATTCTTGATTACACTTTAAAATAGAGTTCTGGATGCATTTTGTTTCAATGTATTTATGATTTAAATTTTTAACATTCATAAAAACTCAACCCAGGGGTTTGGGAATTGTGTTATCTGTGTTTTTTTGTTTTTTGGAGGGGGTAATGTGACAAAAAACAAGCTCCAGCAGTTACTATTGGGCACCCTGATTGTGAAGTTCTGAATCTGAACAAACTTGAATTTCTTAAGAATTCACAACTGCATATTTAAACTAAAAACAGCAAAGAATCTGATTTTTTTTTTTGAAAGCAACCTTTCCCAGATTCTCCCAGTGTTGGAATTTGCCTTAAGATTTAGGATTTTTGATTTTGAGAATCTATATGATCATTGCCAGACATTAATAAAAAGTAGAAAAACAAGAAGCATTTTAAACAGTTTTGGAAAGGTTTTGTGTAGTTTTATCCTGAGAAATTGAGAGTAGTAAGGCGTGGGTAAGATTTGTTTATTTGGGGCAATGATTTGCATTTTAAGGGAATTAAACTTTTGTTACACTTTGTGGTCAGCCTCTTCCTCTCAAGGAATGTGACTTAAAGGCTACTGGTGTCATCAAAATAAAGGGTGTTAAAGATAAAAATGAAAGATGTGTTGCACTTCGTTAGATGAAATGTGCTCTAAGTTTGGTCGTTTGTTAGGTAGTGTAATGGTTGTTCTCTCCTCTGAGTTGACTTTGAATGAGGTGAACATTTGCCCCTAAGTATTCAGCTATCAAGCAAGAATTAGTTTCATAACCAGAAGCTTGATTCTGTCTTACAGTTTAGTTTTCCCAAGTTTGTGCTTGAAAAATCTTTGCAAAGGGATGCCTTGTAAACAGTAGGAAGTTTTGTTTTATAAACTCTAAAAGTTTCTGAAGAAATCACTTGCATCCCTAAGTGTTTACAAAACAAGCTAAATACTTTTGTCCTCCCAACTAGATTTGCATTTAGGGTGTGAATGAATGGGGGTGGGGTGGGAGTGAAAAATAAAGGAGTGGAAAGTGCTAGAGTGAGGATGATTTTCAGGCGATTTTATTTGAATAGTTATGAATTAGTATCTAGATTAAAAAGAAAGTTAAGCAGAAATCTGGAAGAGACTTGGTGATCACTATTCAGCAAGTAAGCTTAATGTGAAAGCAATTTTATGACCCTTTCAGTAAGAAGTGTTTCTTACTAGGTTGGGGCTGGATTTTTTTGTTTGTTGTTTGAATATAAATGAAAAAATGGTTTTATCTTGAATTTTTTTTTTTGCACTATTACAAGGAAAGGTAGAAATACAGCCTCAGGCTGCTTACTCCCCATGTAGATTTCTGCTGAGAAAAGAACGTGGCAGGTCCCTAAGTTGAGCTTTTTGCACCCAGAGGGAAGTACCTACATTGTTACTTGATGGCCAGTTTTTCAAGAGAGGACTTGTCCAGAGACAATGGGGGTTAACTAGTCTCTTGAAAGAGTTGCCCGTTTCTAGAACCTCTTATTTTCTAACCTAAATCAGAAAGGTGATATTTTACTGTAATAGTTTTTTGGATAAAGAACTTTCTTTCCAGTTAAGGGAAAGCATTTCAGTTCTCATCACGAATTTATTCAAAGTATAGCTAACTGCTCCAAATGTAAAGTTCTCATGGCACAGCTTTTGGTGGAGAAAACCAAAATGTTCTTATAATTATGTTTTGGAGATGAAATACATAACATACATTAGCAAGGGAACGATCTTGATTCAAAGAGTCTGACTTCTAATCTTTTAAAATTGCCTTAATCTCTATCATTTGAATCCATTTTGTGTTGTGGGTACTTTTAAGCATACTTCTCTTAAAGAGTTTATTTATTCTCTCTCAATGTCTAACATTAAGTTGACAAAGATACCATTGAGATAGGCTGGTGGGAATACACTTTTTAAAAATTGGAGAACTTTTTCATATTTGGATTGGATGCTGAGTGAAAAAAGGAGACCAGGAAATGGTACTTGATGAGGGTTTATAGGGATTTTTTGTTTAAGATTTATTGATTAGACGTCTGATTAGTGTGTGGGGTGATGGTGGTGTCATTAGAACAAATGCATGAACCTAAGGCATTTGAAGAACAGACCTTGTCCCTAAGCTCTCTTAGAATTTAAATTCAAGCTTGTTCATTCTCCTCAAGTCTCATTCATTCTCTAAATGATTCCGGTGTGGTCAGGATCTTCCAGAAAGTGCTTTTTAGATTTTGTGGGTGAACGTGCGAGAGGAGAAAGGGGAGAGTTGGGGAGCTGCCGGGGTAAGAGAGGGAGGGAAGGAGGGGGCGGTGGATTTCCCGCTCCCCCTTGCGGGGGTCGGGGGGACGAGGGAGTTCGCGGTCACCTCCAAGGAAACTAACCGGGAGCCAGTGGTGGGGCCGGAAGAGCTGGGCAAGGCTGCTTTTTGCTGTCGGAGTTGTCTTTTTTTGCAAATTAAATAGGGACAGAAAGTGGCGGCGCGCTGGAGGCCCTTCCCATAGAGTTCCCGCGGGCGCTACTGCTCGAACCCTTGCTCACCCGGCCGGGTCCTGGCACGCGCGCAGTGAGATTGCCGCCTGCCTCCTTTAACAAGCTCCCGATGGAGCCTTGCAGACTTACGTCTGGAGGGAAGAGCTCTTTTCCCGGGGTCCCCAGGGCGCCCCCTCCTCCAGGCCACGGTGCCCCTTAGGTCCCTGGTCGCTCGGATTCCCGCGGCGCAGCTTCCCGGCGGTGTGGAGGGTTCCCTTCCCGCGTCGGGAATCCTCCAGTCCTTCCGCATTGCAAAGCCGGGGGAGGGGGGTAGCTGGGGGCAGTGAAGTGCAGAGACCGCGGGGGATGAGAGAGGAGGAGACAGAAAATGGAGGGAGCAGGGACCCCTTGGCCAGGGCAACCTCAAGAGTTAAGGGTGTCTGTTTAAATAATCTCGTTGTGGATGGGCTGTTTGTCTCTCCAGCTGACCTCTGCTTGAAGCAATTACTGGGGGCCCTGCGAATGGATTTCATTTCTGTTCTATGTG